TTCCCTTTGCTTTCCCCTGTGCCTGCTGCTCCCTACATGGGTTCTCCTGTCCCTCTTGATACGAGGCCTTATTCCAACCCGAGGGGACTGAGGCTGCCCACAGCATTTCTTTGCACTGAAGCATCCATCCCACGCTGCCCACGGGGAGCGCCGGGGTGGTGCTGCAGAGCTGGCCTCTGCTTGGGGATGGAGCCACCACCCCCGGCACATCCACACTCTCACCTCCTGAGCAGCAGCGTGCTGGCGCTTTGCCTTGTACCCCTGCTGCCCAGGGGCCTGGCCACAGTAGGGAAATCTGCTTTCATGGGGTTAAACCTTTTTACTGCATTAATTGCTCCACGACAACCAATAGCTTTGCAGGGGTGCTACACGGTTGCTACCTCTCCTCTTGCCTTTCCGTAGGAGTAGGGGCAGCTGATCTGCTCTTTTTGGCCTCTGCAACCCTCTCCAAAACTTTTTGGAGGTTTTTAACATCATCCGGTGAGATGTAATCTCAGTGAGCCAGAGAGAACACAGTGCAATGGAGCTGGGCAGCCTGTTTGCCACTGTGGTGAGTTGCTTGCGAGGTGCATGGACTGCCTTGGGTGGAAGGTGGGATGCCATCCCGGCAGCGCCGGTGTGCCGCTGGCCACTCGTCTGTAGTCAGGAGAGGATTCTGCTGTACTTTTTTCTGTCTGTAGGTTTTATTCAGACAATATGTAATGATTGAGTGATTTACAATTCAGTGTTAAGCTAATGAAAATGTTGATAATGGTGATAATAAATCCTTTTCTTTTTTTCCTGTGGTGTGTTGGAGGTTTTTTGTGGAGTGTCTCTGCTCTCTCTGTTGCCACCACCATTATCTTCAACCTAAGATTTCAGCTGGCCCATCTCTTCTCCTTGTGCCTATAGGGAATGAGAGCAGCTCAGCCTAGTGTGTCCCAGGCTCCTTCCCAGTGCTCTCCATGGAAGGGCCCTCTCTGAATCAACCCCAGCTTCAAACCTGCATTTCCCTGTGCCATTTCTGGATGTAATTTGGCCATGGGCATCTCCAGGCACAGAGCAAAGCTTGCTCCCAGCTTGCTCACTACTCTAATGCCTTCTGCTCCTGCTGTTGTCTTCTCAAGACACTTCATGGTCAACACTGGCCATTCAAGGTTGATTTTGAAACCCTGGGAGGCGAAGATGCTGCTGCCAGAAAAAACTACCCCTGGCCCAGGCTGTTGGGAATACCAAAAGTCAGTGTGGGTGCAGGGGGACCACTGGGGAAGGAGACCCATGGGTGTTACCAGGTGTGCAGCTACTGCCTGGTCCTGGATGACCTCAAGCTGCAAGCCCTCAGCTGGGGAGCATCTGGGGGCTCTGGTGTGACTCCTGCTGTGGGGGTCTGCGGAGGAGGTGGTGAGAACAGGCAGTGTTCCCTGGGGAGCCTCTGCAAACCCTTTTCCCGTAGGAATTATGAGGGGTTGCAAAGTCCCAGTTCACTGAGAGTTTCTTGAAGGTTTTTCTCATGCCTCCAAATCCCTCTGCAGGTCATCAGGGCAGGACTGAGAGGCAGGGCAGCTCCCCACCCAGCCACCCACCTGCCCCAGCTACAGCCCCTGGGGGAGCAGCAGTGGAGGAAGGAGGAGGAGAGGAGAAGGAGAATTTCTCCAGCAGTGCAAGTGTCTAGGGGGTCAGGGCAGCCCAGCCCAGCATGGCACCTGGGGATGAACAGCATCTCCCACCTTCAGACCATCACCAGCTTCCAAAAGCAGGATGGGGCTCAGGCAGTCACTAAGCAACTAAGCTCCCCAGCAGTGCTGCCTAGCAGCTTGGGCTGCACAAAAGCAGCAATAAACCCGACCAGGTGCCCTGCTTTCTGTGCCGTCAGCTCATTACCAGCTCCATCCTCTGCCCGAGACAGGCTCCGCAGTGCAGATGTCACACGGTCAGCCCCTGTGCCTCTGCCGGGCTTTGCCTTTGCACCATTGCATAGCGGGCTCTGCAGCACGAGCACAGAGCCACCGAGCACTGGCAGTGCTGCACTGAATCCAGAGGGAGCGTGCAAGGCTGTCTCAGCCTCCGGGTTGTGGTTAGTCTCCTGCTTCCAGCTCCGGAAGCTGGGTCATGCCATGCAGGCTCTGACTTGTGCAGGAATTGAAGAGCTGCTTCCTTCCACCTGCCCTGCCAGCGCTGCTCTGCTCTTCTGCCAGCCTTCCATGAGAGTGGAAGGAGCGTGAGAAGTGCCAGCACCATCCTGACTAGTCAGGGCGTGTCCCAGGTTCAACACAGAAAGGGCAAGAGGTGTCTGTCTGCTACACAGCTCTGATGGCAAGGGCACAGCATACCCACGCCTCGGGCTGACAGCCTTGGTGAGGGGAGATGGCACATGGCAACAAAGGGGCTGAGCTGGTGGGATCAGCATGAAATGACACCACTGAGGAGCTGAGAAGCCAATGAAAGCCTCATTTTTAAGCCTGTTTTATATGCTCACAGCTTGCTTTCTCCTCCCCTCCCCTCCCCTTTCTATTTAAACCAAGGCTTACACAACTGGTCCAGATTTGGGGCTGCTGGTGCAAAGCAATGCAGCTGCTGAGCACCCAGGGGGAACTGCAGCCAGGGCAAGCCAGGGCATTTTGGTGGTGGGAGTCTCTCCACCCCCCTGCCCTCCTGCCTGTGAGATGCCACACACCCCAAAGGGCCCTGGGGAGCATCCAGGTGAAGGTCTCGCAAGCCAGCCCCTCGTGCCAGCCCAGCAGCGCCTGCACCACCCTCCCTGCCTCTGTGCCCCAGGCTGCGCAGCCCAGGGCTGTGCTCCTGGCTCCATCGCTGTCCCTTCCTTGCCCACACATGTGACGAGGGGATGGAATGAGGCTGGGAGGGGCTGAGCATCTTGCATGAGAGTCCTGCTGCCCCGGGGCAGGAAGGATGGATCTACTGTGGCCACGTCGCACCCCGAGAGTGGGTGTAAAGTCCTACCTCTGCCTCCAGTGGGGTGGAGAACCTGGCAGGGAGCAGGCAGCTGAGCCAGAGAACATCCCCCAAATACAGGCACCAGGTGAGGAACCCCCCTCAGCTACCCAGGCAGTGCAGCAGCCCCATTGCAGACCTGCCCTGCTGGCACTGCTCTGCTCTTCTGCCAGCCGGCCCAGCAATCAGAGCTCCGACCCATCCCTGTACTTGCCTGTGTGGGCATCACCTGTCTCGAAGCCCAAATCCCTGCCATTGTAGAGACTGGAACAAGACAGTCCCAGTCGTAACAAGTCTGCACAGATTTGGGGTGACATCAAAGCCCAAAGCTGCCTCCAGGGAAGCCCAAGCACCAGGAAAGGTTGGAAATGTGAAGGTCACTGGCCAGGAAGGGTGGAGGAGCCCAGGGCATCCCTGTGCAGGGGGCAAAGATACCATCCCACAATGGGCAGCAAGACCCAGCTGCTTCCCAGCTCCGGGACAGCCACTCCACCCCTCTCCTCCCTTCAATACCCAAACATCCCAGCAAACACCCACAGGGATAACTGCCCACACCCCCATGGCAGGGGAGCCAGCCCTGGGCTGGCTGGGCAAGGCTGGGATTTGGGGCTCAGACACATCCCTCTGCTCCCCCTTGTGACAAATAACCAACCACCACCAGCTGGATTCATCTTTTATTAAACTGCCCAGAACAAAAAGAGAAGAGAGCAAAGCCTGCCCTGAGGCCTTCCCAATGCTGGCACTCTGCATGCCTTCCCCACCAGGAAAAGGGGATTGTCCTCCAAAAAAAACCCCTCAGAGGGTATTTTAGATAGAACTAAGAGTGAAAATGTCCCTTTATTGGGGGGCAAAAAAGTTAAACGGAGCTTCTACTGCTGTCAGAGCCCAGTCCTGCTTTCTTGCAGATGAGGCAGGATGGACATGGGCCATGTTGGGGGACACCAGCTGGAAACAGCCTCTTAGGTGAGGCTGTGCGGGTACCACACCCCACCTGGGGATGCACACTGAGATGGGATCACCCTGCCTCTGATAAACCCAGCAGCAACAGGTGCAAACGCATGGGCTTGTGAGGACTGGGAGGAGGCAAGGAGCAGGCATGCTTGCTAGACTGCCAGCTGGAGGAAAGGTGGTGAAGGAAAAGATGATTTTAGTTAATGAACTCATCAGGGCCAAACCCTTTGCAGGTGGCTCTATATGGTTCCGGGAGGTTCTCCGTGGGGCTCTGACTGCCCTCAGCAGTCTGAGCTCATCACAGAGGAGGGCTATGGCTGGCCTGGAGGAGTTCAGCTTCCCCTGCAAATGGGACACAGCATCCCACCAACCAGCTCAGCCTGAAGGACCTGTCAGTAGCAAGATAAGGTGTGCTGGTGGGTAAGTGGGTGAGTGTATGGAACCTCCAGCTTCCAAAAGTACCGAGCCAGCCACAAGCCTGAGCTTAGACCTGGAGGGCTGGTCATGGAGATGCAGTGCCATGAAGCTGTCCTTGTGCTGAGCAGCAGGACTGCAGCCCGTCCCCTCCTGCCCACCTCTCCCTGCCCACCCACAGGCGGCAAACCTGCTGTGTGGCACCAACTTACCTGAACCCGTTGTCACGGGACACCTTAAAGATCTCCAGCCCTGCAGGGCTCACTTACTCGGGCTTTGATTTTGAAACACTCTCAGCAAGTGCAATCCAGCCCATGTAGAAAGAGGCATGTGCTGGCAGCGGCCACAGCCAAGGTTAGGCAAAGCGGGAGGGCAGCAATGCCTCCATTTGGAGAGCAAGGAGGTGGGAAAGCAAACCAGCTTGCTGGACTTCACATCAGGGGGCCTCTTGCCAGACCCAAATGCCTGAACCTACTTGGGAGGAAAAAACAAAGAAAAACTAAGTGTCATTCAGTGCCTGCAAAAAGGAATTATTATTTCTCAGCAGGATTTAAAGGCTCCTGCTGGACCCTGCATGGGGCTGGCTGCCAGCTGAAAGGGAAGAGTAACAGAAAAATGAGAGCAATAAGGAGGACCTGACATCTCTGTTCTTAATTTATCATCATAGTAAGACTCGAGCACCAAGTACAGCTCGGCACACGCTCCTAGATGGATTTCCTCCGCAGCCGGGGGTGTTGCCGGCAGCGAGCGCTGTTGGATGATAAAGTGCTCCCCGGGGAAGAGCCAGTCTGACCCCGTGTGCTTAGGGAGACCTCGTCGATTTTGTAGGAAATGGAGTTGTAATACACAGGGTTGGTGTGGCAGCTCAGGGTCTCAGGGTGGGAGGGCACTGGGCTGCCACACAGCTGAGGTCTGTAGCACAGGCACGTGCAGAAGGAGGGGACTGTAGCTGCCGAGTTGGCTGACTGGCGCCGCTGCCTCTCCGCGTCCTCCTGGATCAGTGGGATGAGGTTCATCTGGCTTGTCCTGTCCTCCACAGGAAGAAAAATGGCATTGCTGCTCCGGCTGTCCTCTTTCGGCTTGAGGTGGACGTTGTTCCGGGCTCTCCTCAGTGAGGCGCGCTCTTCGGCATCCCGCCGCTCGTCCTCCGAGTTCATTGTCAGGAACCGCAGCACCACCAGGTTGAGGAAGGCACCAATGACAGTCAGGCCCACCAGGATGTACATGAAGCTGAAAGCTACATAAGGGGGTTTCTTTTGCAAAGCCTCGTTCTTCTGCAGAGCCACAAAGTCTCCAAAGCCAATAGTGGTCAAGGTAATGAAGCAGTAGTAATAGGCATGAAAGAAAGTCCAACCCTCAAAATAAGAGAAGGCTGCTGCGCCGATGCACAGGGTCCCCATGCAGGACAGAAAGCCAACTAGGACCATGTTCTCCATGGAGACATTGGTTGTCCTCATGCCCAGACACTTCTTGATCTTCTTGAGCAGTAGCCGCACGACAGTGTTCATGCGCTCCCCCAGGCTCTGGAACATGACCAGCGTCAGGGGGATGCCCAGGATGGCGTAGAACATGCAGAAAACTTTGCCAGCGTCCGTGCCTGGGGCGGCATGCCCATAGCCTGCGAAGGAAAGAGGAAAGGCAGGCGTCAAGCTCTCACTGGGGTTTCCAGCAAGGCTGCTCCAGGACCAAGAGGAGCAGTAGGAGAATGGGGGAAAATGGAAAATGAATCAATAACAGAGCTGCAGGCAATGCTAACAAGGCCATGGGATGCCACATCCTTTGGGATGATGGCACATTGCAGTATCATGTGGGCAGAACCTCATTTGACCTCTAAAGAGAGAAGGTACCCTCCTGATAGCCCCTGAGCTTGTATGAGGTCATGGTGGCCAAGAGGAACCCTAGAGCTGGATTGGGGTCTGCAAGCCCTCTGCAGCTCATAAGCAATTTAGAGGCAATGATGCCATGCCAGTGCTCGGTCCACAGGGTAACCTGAATCCCCACAGTGAGGGAGGATGGAGGCTCCGCAGGATGCGGAGGCCAAAAGCGCCAGGTCACCCTGTGGGAAGGTATGCCCCCAGCCAGCCCTGTCCCCAAATGCCCTTGCAGGGCAATCGTCACCTCCCCCGGCACCTGCTCCTGCCCCTCCTCTCCCCTGAGCCCTCCAGTCACATGCATCTTTGACTCTCAGCTATGTGATCATTTGCTGCGTGGCCTGTTGCATAGGAGCTATAGGGCCTCTGTGCTGTAGGGTCAGTCCCCACAGAAGCAGCTAAGTCTGGGAGGACTTCTGCAGAGCAACTTCAGATTTACTCCAGTGTCACTAAGACTCAGACCTAAAGCACTGCTGGATCACTGGGGAGGAGGGGTTGTGCTGTTTTAAAAGCAGGGAAGCATTTATGCTACCACAGCCCTGTCAGCCCTTGTCCCTGGGACAAAGAACTCAAGGAGGACAAGGTTCTCCTTGAATGCCTTCTGAGATTTAATTTCCCCACCTTGCTCCAAGTTTCGGAGCTGTGACTCAAGGACACACACAATTATACCATGAGTCGGAATGAGGTATTCACCGCAATCTTCCGGACTTCAGTGATTCTGCACCCGCCTCACAATTATGGAAGCTTAACAGAAATCGGTGGCCTCTGACCCAAGCGGATGAGTAACTAACTCAGTGCGAGGGAGTCATGCAGCGCAGGGAGTAACAGCATCCAAAGGTATCCAAGCCTTTCTTTTGAGTTGCTATGAGAAACTACCAAGGCTGGAAACTTCCTTCCTGAAGGTGCCTGCAGAACAGCGCCGGCTCCTTCCTGCACTGCTGCATGGCCTTTTGCAAACAGCTATTTATATTTTCACTTTTTCTAGGTAACCACCTGCTCTTTGATGTGTCCGTCCGTGTGTGTGCCCCGCCCCCCCCCCCCCCCCCTTTTTTTATTTCTCAGTCTTGTCAAAGCCGTGACTTGGCTTCACCTCTGTCTCTGCTGCCAGTGGATTTGCAGGACTCTTAGGGAAGCTGTTAGCCTGCAGTGATGGGAAGACCAGAGGAGGATAACCACATTGTCCCAGGCTCCCAAGCACACCTCCTGCTCCAGGAAACTCTTGGAATGGGACAGGACTGGGAGGATGAGGACAGCCTTATCCTCGACCATGCTGTACTCTGAACTGCAAGCAGGCAGGAAGGGACTGGTTTCTAGTTGCTCTGTCTGTTCATAAACCCATGCAATCAAAGTTGATAAACTTAATGCCTACATGCCACATTTCACAGAATACAGAGCAGACATGAGACTGCAGTGGCAAAAAAACCCCAGTCAGATCCAAGCTTAATAACCAAGTGCAATTATCAGGTCCTAGGCTACAAGATAATACACTGACAGCAATGAGGAGGTAAACATAATGATCCAGAAGAGCAGTAAGTGGAAAAACAGTTGTTGTAGCCTGAGAGACTCCTGAAAGAACATTTGACTGATGCTTTCAAAATGACAAAGGGTATTAGAAAGAGTAAACACAGCTACATTAACATTAAAACGGAGATTTGGAGCACAGCCCCATATAAAGAGATCTGACATGCCAGCATTTTAGAAATATGGCACCTGGGCTAAAATTATTTATTGCATGGGATGTGTGATAAGTGTAGCAATTGTTTGTCACAGTCAACAGAAAAATAATGTAAATGAAGCAATAACCTGTCACAAGATGATGGACATTTTCACTGAAGCCATTCATCCAACCCTCCTTCTGGGGCCTGACTCTAACAGGGCCCTGAACCCCTCGCTGTTTGCTGGCCACATGCATTGCCAGCTGCACCAACCCCGCAGCACAGCTCATGGGGGCACACAGAGCCCCCGAGGCAGGGCCTGCCAGCTACCTGCCCCTCCACCACCTCTTGTCCCCTGGTAACGCAGTGCAGTTGACCCTACCAGCCCTTGTCCTGAGGGATGATGCTTTCAGCTACCAGATGTATTTCACCCATCCCAAGCCCCTCTGTAAGTCTGAGTCCCATACTGCAGACGAGGAAGTGGCTGCTGGCTGTGGAAGGGCAGCATTTGGCCTCAGGGTTCCTGCCTCCACAACACCTCTGCTGATAGAAATCCTGGCACAAGCCATGACATGAGCACAGGATCCCACATCTGTCTTCCCCCATAGGGTGCTCAGGGTGCATGGATTAATAAAAGTGAATTAATTAAACAATGCTCAACTCCCATGTGGCTAATCTCACCTCGAATTAAGGCAATCCTCATTCAATTTAGTTTAAATTTCCTGCAGAATTGAAAAGGGGCAAACCAAGGCTGGGTAAGTGTGTCTACATAGGGGCTTAATGCGATTCATTCCCCTCCAAGCTAACTGACACCCATATCTCTGGGTTCCTCAGCAAGCAGAGCGAGGTTCGGTGTCTGGTGGCTGTCTTGGCTCCCTGAAGCAGGTCTCATACAGCCAAACGTCCAGAGTTTTGAGCTGGCAAGGAAGCCAACAGTTCTTGCCCAGCTCTTCAGCCTGGCTTGCTGGCTACAACACCGTGCAGAGGACGGATGTGGCTCCCACCTCTGCCCTCCTACACCCCTGCCAGCTTCTGCAGCTGCCTGCCCCGAAGGTGCCTGCAGAAGCTCCATGTGCTGCCGCCTCACTGGGACAATGTGTACGCCTCATTTCATGGCCCCAGCCGTAGCACGAC